GTTAATAGATCCCAGAATGACATTCACGTACCTGCACAGCACTCTCTTTACAGCACTCAATCTGACCCGCAGGTCTTTGTCTTGTATTGCCGCTTGGCCGTTGTCCTTCACTCCGTATTCATGCGTTCTTCAAGTGAATTTGTCTTGTGGACCAGCAGCACACTTACATGGTTCACGAAGGTCTCATTCTGTCCTACCTAGTTCTGGCAGCAACATCTTCCAGCATAAGAGCATCAACAGATGGTAAATTAAATGTCCACCGTTGTTAGTGAAGTGTCAGACAATAGAGATGTAGGGATAAATCTGTTCAAGACTTGTATCATAAATTGAATAATGAAATAAGACATCATGCTACTTCTCAAAAATAACGATATCTCCCCCAGTCCCCTTGCAGGAGCTTCATGTAGGCATAGTTTCCTTACTGATCTGTGAGAGTATTTCCTGAGAACCACATAATAACGCCTTCAGATCAAGGATTAGCATAGCTCATGCCTGTTGGCCAAGTCAGTAACATGAAATGGAAGAAGAAATTATAAGCTGCTCAGCCTAACTTTGATAACCAAAGAGTTTAAGTAGATCTTGCATTGCTTTAGCTTGCCTTTTTTAAAAGCAGGTTAGGAGTCATTTAATCAGTTTATCTTCAGTTCATCTAGTTATTTTTTTAAATACTTCTAGATAATTCATTTCCTCACTTATGACCTATTGATTATATGCTTTGCTAACGGTTATGAAGCACACAGGTACGATTATGTTAATAAACTGAAGAAAACAACATTCAGTATTGTAGTCGTCTTCACCAGATGAAGTGGTATTATCAAAATCATCAGATAGTGGGCTGTAAAGGAAGTCCTTTTTGACACAGCACACAATTGAGCGGTGGAGCTCACTGCCACAGACTGCAGTGAATGCCAGCCATTTAAACGGGCCTAAACAATGAGATGAATTTATGCTAGAAAAGCTCATTAAGGGCTATTAAGTACACAGATACGGATGCAACTGGGAAGTCCTTAAGCCATGTATTGCTGGAAACTGGAAGAATATAGGGAAGAAACATATAAATCCACCCAAATTACAGCAGCACTCTTCCCCCCAACCCCCTTCCCCTGTCCTGTGCGTTACTGATGGCTGAAGGCAGGCTCCCGAGCTACATGGACCTTTTGGTCTGATCCTTATGGTAGTTCTTGTTCTCATCTGTAATTCACTTGCTTCCAACTTCAGCAGTACAGCAGTATGATCCATTCTGTTCCCTTTTCTGTAAATACAATCAGAGATACTTGCTTTTTTCTTCTGCACTGAAGCTTTTGTACCTGTTGTGGTACTGTCCCTGCCTGCAGGGCTTTCTTCCCTCTCCTTTCTCTCTACAAGAGATCTGCCTGCCTTGTTCTTAGCAAGCCGAGGCCTAAGTGGTGCTGCATCCATCTCCTCCTACGTATTAGAATAGTGTGCTCCCTTGGTGTGGTTTTGGGAAGCATCCGGTCGCTTCTCTCCATGGAGCTGTGCCTGTTAATTTTCTGGCACTATCAGGTGATTGGTGATGAATCGGTTGAATCCGCTGTTCTGGTATTTGGCTTGACATGGGTCAAGCCATTTGGTTCTCCAGCAATCTTCGAATAAATTTAATTTTTTTTAAACTCGTGAGGATATCTTGGGATTTCCTCTGCCTTTCTGTTTCTGTCAAAGCTGTGCTGGTCTTAGGATTTTAGGTCTGGATATGACGTTGAGAATTTCTTCAGATGCACGTGAAAATTGTTGGCCATTTATATTAAGTAACTCTGGACAGATAGAAAGGGGATCTTTTCTGTAAAACAGATTCTAATCCTGTTTTCTCTTTTCTTTTGATCTTTTTTCTTTTCCTCTTTTCTACCAAATGCTGTCATAACAGACTCTTTCCTGTTTGGTGTCAGGAAAGGTTTGGCTGCACAGGGATCTAAAATATTAATGCCAGCTGAGCATACTCAGCTATTTCAGCTGTTTGTGTCCTGAATTTCTTCTGTCCGAGCAGTGTTTTTAATCCTGAGCTAAGGGACGATTTTCAGGTTTCAAATTTAGGCTGTCTTTTTGATAGTACCTTTAAAGTCAGCAGTGTTAGGTGTATGTGAGGTTTAGTTTTGGGAGCCGTGTTTGTGTAATAGGAGTAGGGAGTTGGTGGAAAGTATGAGGGAAATAACTTGAGTAGCTGAGAAGACTGTTTTGACTGCTAAAAACCCAGATTATTCAAGGAGAAAGGAGTCCTGGAAAACCAGTCCAGAAAGAATATGAACCGTTCCAGTACTTGGAATATATGGGAATAACTAAGGTTACCGAGTCCATTTGTAATTAGTTTAAAATGGCATCAGTTAACCACAACAACGTTCCTCCCATCTTCGGGAATACTGTAACATAAGTAACACAAGTGGGCATTTTCTGTCACACCGCTGTTCTCACACCAGTGGTAAAATGAGTCACTGCCTGCTTTTCGTCTCTGAGCTCCTTTCGTTTGACCAACCTGAGTGGATTTATCTTCACCTTGTGTCTAAAATGGGATTATTTCCTTGTCTCAAATGGAAACATGCCTTGCCTGAGGGAGTTTCTGGCCAGCCTGGATGCCTTGCGTCTCAGGACAGTGACCTGCCATAAGTCTGCCCGTTCTCCAGAGCTGCTGTCTGGTTTTGTTTTTTTTTTTTGTTGAGGAAATGTGCCATTGGTCCTCTGGAAGGAAAAATACATGAGGAAAGAGGTTGGAGTGCTAACAGAGATGACGCTGGCCTTTCACATCTAGGCATACCATTTACTATAGCTGTATTTGCAAAGGGGTGGTTACTCATTCTGGGTCCTTCACCTAGAGAGAAACTGCTTGTTTCAGCAGGATCCACGAGGGTGGTAAATGGGGCAGAGCTCTGCTGACCCATCCTCCTGCAGATCTCACCTGGTGTGGAAAAGCGCTCAGCCATAAGGAAGGACTTCCGAAAAGCTTTGCTTCAGTTCACACGCTGTTTTACTCAGCTCTTTGAGCCAAGCCCAGGTGGGAGCAGCTTTTAAATGCACGGCGTGGTGCAGTCACTTCTGTACCATACCATGCTCTGGATCTGCTGCTGCTGCTGTGAACGTCTTAAACACAACCTCTCTTATTTTATTTTCTTTTCCCCTTTGCCTGCGGAAGTCTGGCTCTCGAAATGAGCTCACCCACAACAAAAGCATCTCCAAGTCCTGTTGAGCTCCTACCTAACGACGGCTCCTTTCCTGTCATTCTCTCGCCTACTACCAGACATAGCAGCGGTATGAGTGTTTGGGTGGGGAAGGAAGGAGATTGCAACATCCATTAAGGAAAAAAAAAATAAAAGAAGGCTTGTCTGCCTCTCACTTTTCAAGTGCGGCTGTAAAGCTTTCCTTGGCCTTTGAAAACTGAGCTCTGCCATGTGGTGGGTGCGAGCTGGGGAATACGTCAGCCTTTGAAGTTGGTGCTTTAAATAGGCAGTTGCAAATGGCATCCAAATTAAAGCGGTTTTAGCAGTTTTGCTGCGAGCTGGAATAAGTTATTTTCTCTGGCAGTAAGACCACGTTACAAATACCCACACCTCTGTATGCATCTCCCAGCCCTAAAACCGTGTTCACTCTATGACAGTAAATACAAAGCTCTAGAAATGCAGTTGTAGAAGGAACCTCTTGCTGAAACTGATGTGTATTTCCCTGCAAGACTTCAGGCTTCTGTTTTAACAGAAAACCGCGCCAGCTGTGACTGCAGGCGGCTGAGTTCACACGATTGCAGTCGCAGATAAGCAGACCTGTCCTGAAGTGTCTGAGCGAAGCGCGGCTGAAAGGCTGTGTGTCTGTCTGCTGCATTTCATGCATTTATTTACAGTGAAAATGTACTGGCCACACAAGAGAAGGCAACTGAGAATCCCAAAGCATTTATTGTATTATCTGTGGTGTTTTGAGTGCTCAGAGACCAAGCGCCCCTTGGTACAATGCAGCGCTTCATAGTTCTTAATCTATAGGCAGTACTTTTCTACAGGAGGACGTTGTTCTTAGTTATAATGCCGGGGATGAGGATGAAAGCTTTGTTTGCACAAGGAGTTACATGCAGTTTTTTCTATTTTAGTCTAATGTAAAATGATCTGAACAGGCACGGTGACTTGGAAGCAAGTTGTGCTGCCCTAGCAAGAACCTCTCGGATATTTGCACTGCATACCTTTATGTATTTACCTAAATTCCCCCAATCCTCCACTGAGAAGTAGCCTTGTTACCTGCGTGCACAGTCAAATCTCCCTGGAGAAGCAAAAATTAGAGATGAGAAAGGAAAGTGCTTTGTATCGCTTTGCTGGTGCCTTCTTGTTAAGTTACTGATGACCAAATTTCCAGTACATGCATGGTGGGAGAGAAATTCAATCCAGAAAAGGGAAAACCTCACTTACTTCTCAACAATACTTAGTTACATTCCCGAACTTACACAGCTCTCTTGGGAAATGTCTTTCCTGTATCCATTGTCTTAATGTAGCGCCTTTCCTAATCATTCTTGGTCATCTCAAGCTTCTGGAAAAGTGAGTGTTTCCAGGGCGGAGGTGGAGGGAAAAGAGTTTGCGCGTTGCTGCCGAGCTTCTCGTAGTGATGCTGCGTTAATCAAGTTAATCAAGAGCAGTGACTCACAGAAAATGAAGACTGGATAATCCGAGTGGTTATTTATCACTTCTGTGGTCTACAGGATTGCTTCCTGCTGGAGAAAATAGCCCAAGGCACTTTACTGCTAGGGAACAACATCTTCATATTTAGTCTAAATTTTTCCTTTCTATAGCTCAAAGGTAAAATTCAGAAACTCTCTTCCTCCTTGTTATTTTGTAATCTACCACATAACTCTGCATAACTCGGATTGCAGTGGTGGAGACACATTTCAGCTCCAGCTGTGCCTCTAGAAGCCAAGTCCCTCCTTTCTCCCTTCAAAAAGGGGTGCTGTTTGCTAGCAGGTACCTACCTGTGCTCCCCTATAGGGCATTAATCTTTCTGGCTTTTTTCTTTTTCCCCAATAGGATGATGAGAGTCTGAAACACTTAACTCACGAAGAGCAGGATGTCCTCATGTTCTTTGAGGAAACCATAGATGCCTTAGAAGATGACTTGGAGGAGCCTGTCCTGCGCGACAGTGGCATCCACTGTCAGTCTCCGAGGTCAACGGAAGAAAACGTGTCCAGCCATTCGGAGACTGAGGATATCATCGACTTGGTACAGTCAACACCCGAGAGCAGCGACCAGGAAGGTCCTCCCAGCAGAGATGCAGAACCAGGTAGTGGTATTTCTTTAAAGTGCTTTTTTTCCCTTTGACCGAGCCCTGCCGTACTCACAGAAACACAGAATCTCAGGAGTTGGAAGGGACCTGGAAAGCTCATCCAGTCCAACTCCTGCCAGAGCAGCATCACCCAGACCAGGTCACACAGGAACGCATCCAGGCGGGTTTTGAATGTCTCCAGAGAAGGAGACTCCACAACCTCTCTGGGCAGCCTGGGCCATGCTCTGGCACCTTCACAGTAAAGAAGTTTTTCCTCATATTCAGATTGAACCTCCTATGCTCCAGCTTGCACCTTGTTGCCACTTGTCCTGTCATTGGCTGTCACTGAGAAGAGCCTGGCTCCTTCCTCCTGACACTCGCCCTTTACAAGTTTATAAACATTAATGAGGTCACCCCTCAGTCTCCTCTTCTCCAAGCTAAAGAGACCCAGCTCCCTCAGCCGCCCTTCATAAGGGAGATGCTCCACCCCCTCAGTCATCTCTGTGGCTCTGCGCTGGACTCTTTCAAGCAAAAGCGCTCATTAGAAACAGCAAAAAAATTTCTGTACCTTCCTTACTACCTCAAGGTGACTCCGTTGCACATCAGGAGCTCCAAGGACCACGGTTTTAATTTGACTTGGGATTTCAGAGTTTCTTGCTGTTACTATCACTTTTTCTTTTCTTCATGGGGATCATGCATATGATGATGTTGTTGGACGGCTGTTTCCCTGCCTGGTGACAGAGTTGTAGCAGGGTGTTATGCAGAGTCATCGCAGCAGGGCAGACAGTCTGGTGTTCATCAATGTGTTCATGCTCTGCTTCTCTCTTAAGATCTCTGAGAGTTTTAAGATAGTGACTTGTTTGTGGCGTTACTTTGTGTGGGACTGAAAAGCACATGCTCCTATCAGTAAGCTTGTGACAAGACAGTGTATGGCTTGTTGTTTCCTTCACCCTGCGGAGTTTGCTTTCCCTGCTCTGGGAGAACTGATTTACCTGCAAGTGCATACGGTGGGATGTAACTTATGCCCTCCTGGCTGGTATAATGAAACACACTATTGCAAGACTTACAGAAGAAGCAGTTGCTGAAACATTGAAGCAAAGTACAGATTGTGAGTGAATGGCAGAAAGCTTGTGGTGAACACGTTGTAAATACAGTGACTACAGCGTCGCCTACAAGATGCCATTGCTAGGGGTTCAGTTATGGCAATGTGGGCCGAGTTAGAAAGTTTGGGGGAGGGGAGTACTGATGTTTGTGAATCCTAGGTGAAAGCAAGCCTTGTGTTTTGCTCTGTGTGGAGACTTAACAGCATTATTACTGTTTGTCTCTTCAGTGTTGGATGCTGCCTGGAGAACTGAGAGCCCGAAGCCAGCTGTACCTGCTGACATCCCCCCGCATCCACCTGTACCACCACCATCAATACCTGAGACACCGCCTCTTCCTCCTCCACCTCCTCCTCCAGCGCAGCATCCGAAATTGCTTCGCTCTGTCCCCACTCCGCTCATCGTGGCCCAGAAGATATCTGAGCAGCAGATGGAGAGCAGGGTGCGCTTCCCCAGTGCCCTCAAGGAAGGGAGTCTGGACAGGAAGAAAACCCCAGTAGCCAACGGTGATCATTTTGTGGTTCCAAAGCACCCGCCTGCACCTGCACCCAAACTGCACCGGTTCCCGAGCAACATCAACATCACAAATGTCAGCGGCAGAGAATTCAGTGAGACCATTTCCAAAGCAGCCGTTAATGTCCAGGAGCGGAGAGCTCAGGTGCTGGCCAACATCAGCGGAGGAGCTTTGCTGGCAGCTGAGCTGGAGGAGAAGCTGCAGAAAAACGATTTCTTGTCACGTAACAGAAGCTCTTCCTTACGGGATCTCTCCTCTGAGCAAACGCGATACGAGGCTCTGGCAAAGCTTGGCCTCATTAAAGGGAAGGCAGCTCAGGACCAAGTGGATCATGCCCCAAGCACTCAACAGCTCGGTGTGCAGCCCAAACAGGCAGACGCTGTTCCCAATGGATACCAAAACATCCATGAGATGTTAAAAAGTGAGCCCAGCCCTTTCCTTCCTACGGGCAAAACTGTAACAATCAAACCAGAGGTCTCTCTTGCTGCTAACAAGGTCAGCAATGCACAGCAGAACACGGCAAAGAGTTTTAATGATTGTAAACAACCTACGCTAAACCTGGACATGAGGAGGAGGGCAGGTTCGCTGCCCAGACCCTCGGGATTTCGGTCCCAAGGGATAACGGTGAAGTTTTCTGGCCGTGGCTCAACAGAAGAAGCAAGGAGAGAGGCACTTCGGAAACTGGGACTGCTCAAAGAGACCGCGTAATCTGGATGGGAACGTTTTGGCGACGAGGGAAAGTCATAGTGTGGCTTTGTGCTAGAATTGTCCCAGCAGGATTGGGATCAAACAGGTTGGAAGAAGGAAGGGGAAGTTCTCTGCATCAGGCAAGCTGAGGAGGTGCTGGACACTGGAATGACAGCGTGTTTCCCCAGAAGGACTGGCACCAGCTCTGGTCGTGTACAGCAGCAGGTTTCAGCCCTCCTTCCTACAGAGATGCTCGTCTGTTGCGCTTTGAGACTAAGAGGAATTTTATTTAAGTAACGCTGGACGATAGCAGGCAGCATCTTGTCAGTGAAGTGTACAGTGCAGTATTGTTGTACATAGAAACTGAGCAGCGAACCTTCCTTTTTCTGAAGCCAAAACCGAGAGCTCCGTTTGTCTTGCCCACGTGTGTGTGTCTGTCTGTGGGAGCTCAAAATAATGTCAAAACCCGAAATTTCTGAGCAGCGTGACACTTCTGTGGTGTTTGTTGTCTGTGTTATCTGGCTTGGCTTCATTCCCTACCAGTGGTGGGGTTGTCTCTTCCTTGCCCTGTGCCCACTCGACTGGAGCCTGTAGAGGGAGGTTTCTGCTTTGACCTCAACAGTGCCCAAGCTGTGAGGGGGCGACTGCACCGCTCTGCTCCTTCACCTGAAGTTCTGCCTTTCTCCCCAGCCACCTGCTTCTCGGTCACGCTCTGCAACCTCCGCCTCCAGCGAAGGCACCAGATGAGCCTCCAGGACACGCACCATGCACCGGTTTCGCACTGACAGCCAAAGAGTCAACTCCTGACAATCTGTGACCCCAACTGTTGTGCACCAGGGACGCTCTTGTAGCAGAGAAGCCATAGGAACAAGTTCACTTCATACCAAATGCGAGAACCTCATGTCAAAAGTCTGATCTTCTACACTGGGGTTCCCATGAAGAAACTGTTACTGTTGGAGCAGTAGCTGTACTACACCGAGTAGATTTACGTTCCGTTACTTCTAAAAGCTGTCATTTCATCTTCATGTAGTTTGACAGCCCTAATAATCCCCTGTTCGCAGCCTTATTTGATTCTGCCCTGCCAATGCGTTACAGAAGTTACAGCCAAAACTCCTGCAGGCTACGTGGAGTCACAGGAAAGAGCTGTGTGTAAGAGCACGCCACTTCTGAATGGTCCAAGTTGGTGTATTTTGCCTTTGTTCAATGGACATGCTTTTAAAGATGGTCCCAAAATGTATTTGTGTTGGTATGATTTATTTTTAATATGGCAAAGCTACTCTTCCACGTTGAAGCTCCCTTCCCTTTTGTACACCTGAAAGCATCCACAATAGCCATTTTAAAATGCCAAACTCTCTAAATTTTGTGTTGCTATTCCTGCATGTTTGAGTTCTCTGTGTTTTGGTTGTTTTTCAAAAGGGAAAAACTCACTCTCTGCACTTTCTAAAGCCTCAGGCAAGCCCCTCTTTTTCCCCCGAAGCTGAGCAACAACCCGTGGAGAGGAGGGGAGCGGCTGCAATAGAAACTGGCACACCCTGCGGTGGGAGCGCTGACACAACTGTGATAAACACGTTTGTACTCCTGGTGATAAAGTATTTCAGACTTGCTGAGCTGTACGCGTACACGAAGCTGTCGTGAAGGAGAAACGCTTGGCGTTGTTCTCAACCTGCCTCATAAGTTAAAGTTTTTTGTTAGTTTGGGGTTTTTTGTTAAATTATCTGCTCGCTGCTTACATTTTTAATTGTGTTGTTAACGTATCTGACTGGTTCTGTTGTGTAGTTGTTCTTTTCAGCCTTTTCACTGGGTAAGCGATCACGTTCCTGGCTGCGACAGGCATGCTATACTTCAGCAATCGGTAATTAAAATATGTGGCCATTCCTCAGCCTGGCGAAGCACTTACGCATGCATAATCAAATGTGAGAAGCGCCCCTGAACCAAAAAAGGCCGCTTGTCTGCTGCGGTAAAGCACATACTGAAATCAGAAAGACAAGGAAGCACAGAAAATACATCCGAGCACCTGCTTCAGCGCAGCCTGGAGTAGAGTCCTACATGTGATGATCATCAGAAGTGGTTAATATAACCTGCTAAGGAAATTTGAATGTTTCATGACCTTTGCTTTTAAATCCTGTTCAAGTGGGTTCTTTGTTATAAATGTGAAGTGTGTACAAAGCTGTCTTTACATCTCATCATTTTTTGCCAGCTCTTCTTTCAGTTGTTTACAGCTGAGGGGCCATGCTAAGCAAATGGGGGGGAAAAAAACCAACCCTGACATGAATTGTTTCATTGAAATTCAGTCCTATTCAGTAATTCTGTAACATAACCCTATTTAAAGAATAGATGTTTAATATCTGAAGTTGCAATATGCTGAATTAGCTGGATCATCTTTCATCCTTTGTGCAGGGCTGCATCCTCAACTGGTGGGAAGTGAGTTAGGTCTTCATTAGATAAACCAGTTTCTGCCCAGTGAGGACTTGGAAGGAGGTGTTCATTATAGCAAATATCCTACTGGTAAATTCTTCTCTGTGCCTAAAACTGTAGTAAGTAAAGCCATGTACTAAATGAAGTTAAGTCTAGCTGCTAATAACCTGTATATAACCTAGCTCTATTTTGTGTATCTTGTTTTGTGTGTATATGTTGCTGTGATTTTATTTCCCCTACCCCCTTGTCTTAGAGGTAACTCTTGCACAAGTCTGATAAATCGTCTATTAAACTGGGATAAAAGCAATGAACCAATGGCTGATGAGAGGTGCAGTTTTGTTCTGTCACCTGCTGGCATGCAGGAGGGAAGTGTCTTTTTTCATGGCTGACATCAATTGAGTAACTTCTGGTTTTGCTGCTGTGGATGTGTGTGAGGCACAGCTCAGTCCTGTCACACCGTGGATGAACACAGGCTGGGTGTGCTATAGGAGGGTGCCAGGAAAAAAGAAGTTCATCCTGAACACTGTTTGGAGTAGGCAAAACCCTTGCTCTCCCAGTGTTTTGCAATATTAAAATGACTTTTCCGAGAGGAACATTGTACACATGAAAGGATGCTCACATTTTTGAGTTTCCATGGCTGCCTTCTGTGGGTATTACCATACGTGAGTGTGATCCTGGTGCAGGTAGAAGTCTTTTCTTGCTGCACAGGACTAAGTTCCCCTTTAGAGCATATTCCTACCCATGTGCTTGCTGTATTATGGCTGTTGTTTGGATGACTGCACATCCAGACTGCTCAGGTAATTCCTTGGTTGAGAGTAAGTGCTGACTTGGGCAGGTATTGCTGGTTCCTGCTGCCAGGAAGAGAGGTGAGAGGTTGTGAATGAAATGCTACATGGCTGAAGTGGTGGCTAAATCATCTTGTGCTAGAACTCATCCCACTTCAAGTAGGGAATTGGTTTAGAGCCAAAAGTCGCCCAGTTGCTGAAGAGGTCGTACAGGACAGCTGGGGAAGAACTTTTTACCAGGGCAGATAGCAATAGAACGGGGGAATGGTTTTAAACTGGAAGAGGGGAGATTTAGACTGGATATGAGAGGGAATTCTTTACTGTGAGAGTGGTGAGACACTG